TTGCTAACAGAGCTGACTGTTGTATTAAGAAGCAGACAAGTTCATGAAAACTCATGAATGGAGATAAAACAGACGTTTCGCATGGAGGAATTTAACTGATAAAATCTGTGGAGCTCCAGGACCGATTGTGGATAAATAACGTCAGGTGACGGGTTTCTGACTTTGTCCACTCTAGCGGGAAGAAACCCCACGCAGTGACGTTTGCTGCAGTGGGAGGGGTTTCCCAGGTGCTCGGCACGGTGCATCTCTGGGGCCATGAAAGGTGTGTGCAAAAACAAATGCCGAACAACCACGTGACCGCACATCGACCGGTCGGCATCACAGCGAGTATGTTTCAGGCTTTATAGGAAAACATTAGCAGCATTAGCAACGTTAGCAGCTGCTTTTGTCTCAGGATGATGGTTTCGTAACAAGAGCCAAGCACCAACGACAAACACTGCGTTCCATTCCAAACCACTTAAATGTAAACTTCAACATTTAAGGTTTAACCTTTACATTTAGACTTAGGATTTAATATTTGCATATATTTGTTTAACATTTAAATGTAACATTCAGCAAAAGTTTGCAAAACAAAAGAACAGAGCAAAATAACAATAAAATGTTAGATTTTTTTTAAACTAGGACTTTAAATTTAGAAAGTGAGCCAAATGATGAAAATGTTTTTTTAACAATTCGCCCCATATTTTCCATGTAGAACTGAGAGTTTATTAACGTTGTGTTTTATATGGATGTTGTCGGACATGCAGGGCCTGAGTCCAGGATGTTATGACACATACAACGCAGACATCGACTGCCAGTGGATCGACATCACAGATGTGAAACCAGGACAGTACACCCTCAAGGTTTCTAACAAACAACTTCTTTTCTAAGATGATAAATGTATTTTACTGAAACAAAATGTAAAATTCCATTGTGCTAATGATTGTGTTTAATAATTTTGTTTTTTAGGCTGCTCAGGTTCACGTCTCTTTGTGTTTTGTCTTCACAGATAAGTGTGAATCCATACTATCAGGTACCAGAATCAGACTACAGCAATAATATTGTGCGCTGTGACGTCCGCTACACTGGGAGCTACGCCTACGTGTCAGGTTGTCACATGTCGACGTAAGTATCTTACACGACACGACATGTTTACCATCATTGCATCTCTCATTAATGCTCATGATGTTTTGTTTTATATATTTCAGATATTAAGAAGCAACAAATCGACAGAAAGTCTGCAGCTCTGGAAACGACAATGAGGACTGCCTGCAGGGACGTGCAAGATCACATGAAATAAGAAGATATTAAATATTCATATGGTGCCAGGGGAAAAAAACTGACAAATAATACAAATACCTCTAGTAGTAGCAGATCTTTTTTCTTTGTTTCTTGGAGAGAGCGGTTTAATTCTTCTCACTACGAAGTTTATTTACATTGTTTTTCATTTCTTAACAAAATAATTCTGTGCACTTGCATTTTAAGACACATAAGGAGTTAAAACCAAAAAGTTTATAAAGAAAACTTAAAATAAAACATTATTAAATCTATACTCAGCTGATCAAACTGTTCAAAAGCTTTTGATAGAACTTGCACAAAAAAGTTTTCTAAAATTGTTTTGTCTATTTTAAAATACTTTCCTTTATCTTTGTTTCCTATAAATTTTCTTTTTCACAAACACAGATTTATGTTTTTCTGCAGTTATGACTTCAAGTGTGTAAATGTTTCCTCGAACAGTACTGAAGTGATGTTTTCAGCAGACTCTTGGTGCTATTCTGACTTTGGACTTCTGCATGGAAATAAAATCTGTATCCCCTGTTTTCCTTCAACCTCACCAGAACATTCTGACTTCACAGCTGGTTTTATAATGCAGGTTTGCCTGATGATCCAATTGTGTCAAAAGACCTGTTATAGTACCATCCTGTTGTACTAATAAAAATCTCTGGTAACATACGTATATGTACGTCTTACCAAAATGTTCCCTGGGTTGACACATTTCCTCAGGAGCCACGGTGAACGTGTTGCTAAAGTTTTTACAGCTCATCAGGCCTATGATGCAATGAGTCTTTACTAACTTCTTGTTTAAGTCGACACTCACAGATTGTACATACGTGTGTCATGACTTTAAATAAAGGCACAAAAGCTGAAGACATGAAATTATGTTCATTTGTTGTCAAATATTTAATAATGTTTAGACACAATTTTAAGGTGTGTTACTCATAAACTAAATTTATCAGTGAGCAGTGCAGTATCATTAGCAGCATTAGTACTATTACTAGTACTGCTGCTACTAATACTACTACTATTATTGCTACCACTACTTCTGCTTTAATAAAAAACATAATATTACTACTGCTGCTGCTGCTGCTGCTGCTACTACTACTACTACTACTACTAC